AATGGTTTGAGGTTTTGAGTTGTGAAATTCAAAGAATACAAGAACTAAATTTCCATATAGTTAGTACATCCAAATTTCTTTGCGGGCTATGATTGAGAGAGAAGGGGATTTAACCTGAAGTTTTCATTACATCATAGATGGATTCATGCATTTTAGTAGTATTTCTGATTTTCATAAGTTGAAGATATTGTATGCATTTAGATTTTGCTGAAGTGGAGTAGAAAATCAAATTATAGAAGTAAAGACATTGAGAATTATTTGAGAGCACGAATATCTATCGCGGGAGTTCAATGATCTAGGTAATGAAAGAGAAATTATTAATAAATTAACTATCATTTGTTCACCAAAAACTAAGTTATTGATAGGGCAAAAGGGAGTATTGCTGGATGTAATGAGATTTGAAATAATGCAGTCCAATTTATGTATTTATTTTTGGGAAATGTTTTGGTTGCCTGCAACCTATCATTTAACGGAGTTCTCTCAATATAAGTACCTTCAAAATTGTATAAGCTTTAGACACATAGAAAACCAAATGTGGGATAAACTCATGATCAATTATGTAAGTTCTTGAATTTATCGAGTTTAGAAACATAAATCTGGTAAGATCGAGATGTATATCTATAAGATACACATGACAGTCCAAAGGGCACTTGTTCATAAGTGAAATTTTGGATGGATATTGTGTCACAAGATGTGACATTTGAAAGTTTCCCAAGGGAAAAAATGTTGGAGAATATTTGTAAAATTAATATTATTCGTATTGGAAAATCAATTTTGACTACAAAAGAGTTGTTTTAAACTTCAGATTCAAGTTCGAGTAATCTATTTTCAATTATTATTAGTTCAAAAAATTCCTTAAATATATAAGTACAAAGAGGTAAAATTAAGTAAAGTGGTGGAAATATACAGAGTATAGAATTTCAGTCTAATCTAGGATGTTGTGGAAGTTCTAGTTGGACATTAAAATTATTAAGACAGAATTTTGAAAACTAAGTGGAAGAGTAATGATTTAAAAGACAAGGCTAATTTTTGGGGGAAAAAGGTTACACTCAATATGAGTGTATTGATTTAGATTAACTTTTTTTAATTTCAGATTTTCATTGTCGTACGCCGATGCTAGCCATGATAGCATGTTTAAATTACACCAAATAAACCTAGATATTGTATTTTTATTCTCAATTGAGAATTGATTGAATAGATATGCATTAATCGACTTGTAGTTTTATGTTAAAGTTTATTTAGTATGGATGATGCTACATGTATTGAATTTTTTTATTGAATCTTTTACCTACTACTCACAATGGGGATGAGGATCACATATACGTGGACTTGTACTACTAGACGATGACCTATTA